TTATCGCAAATTTTCAAATGTATATCGTGATAGACATTTTTGGTCATATCGCCCTGCTCTACTGAGTTGTATGAGAGGCTGGACACTGACAAAGAAGAAAGGAAGCTTTTTAGCTTGATGGGCAGCAGGTCAGGGTGACCGAGTAAGCCAAGAGAAGAACTTTGGTACTGTATCAGGAAACTAGATGTGGCACAGAAGTATGTGAGGGTGGTGCAGGACATGTATGTGGACATCGAGACGATGGTCAGGTATGCCTTAGGAGTGACAGATAAGTCCCTTTTCCACTAGTACCTACTCAGATCGACTTGCAACGGTTCGCCACAGTTTTAAAGGTTTTCCATTAGGTCATAGTACCTGGTACTGAAATACTACTTGTTCGGCCATGGTTCCAAAGTGAAAAAATTAAAACCACCATTTTTGAAACCCAGCAACGATAGAAAAGCTTCAAAAAAAAAAAAAAAAAAAACGCAACACAGTGGCCCGTGACTCTGACGAAAAGCCACAGACCAAGCAGCAGATATATCCACACCCCGACGTCCACCTTTGTTGTAGCGTTCGTATCTAACGCTAATCAGGTCACAGGATGCTCAGCCACATTGCTATAGCGATGACCACACACATTATAAAATAATCATAAAATAAATAAATTACCTTAACCAATGCTTTGCATTGTATTTGATGCACAAGCAAAATGTGACTCGGTGGAGAGACACTGTTCAGTTCTCTCAAAGAAGGCAAACTTACAAATTCAGCAAGAGACCAATTAATTATTTTCCCCTCTTTACAATTAAAACATCACTATCTTAGCGCCTAATGAGCCTTAACATAGAAAGAAAGCCATCAGTAAAGTAAGAAACCCTAATACAGAGACAGCCAGTAAAGACATTTGAAAGCCAGATCCAATCAAAGACAAAATTCAAAGAGATAGGGAGAAAAACAGCAGGAAGTAAACAGACAAAAAGGACATCCCCTTGTTTAGTAGAACGGGAACTAACTCAGTCACTTGTTTCAAGTCTTACTGAATATAACATGACAATAACAATTGACAATCAATCAATATAACAATTTGATAGCCCCTGTTAGATCAAAAAGGATGATAAGGCAGGATATCCTTGACCAGGTGACTGGCAGGTCAAGACACTATGAGTGTGAATGTTTGTATGCTTGTGTGTGTAATAGAGTCATCAGGACACAACATGGTAAGAGACAGAAGCTCTGGCCTCTGAGCAGGAAAATGCTGCTCAGAGTATAATTGGATAAGAGGCTTACTTTGTGTCATGTTAGGGGCTTTCCAGTATGGCTGCAACTGGAAACCATTAGAGCAGCCCTTCAAAGGGTCAGCCAGGCTGGTCAGTGTTTCTCTCTGTGGACTGGTGTTCCCAGTGCAATGTAAATACATAAGAGCGAAGACACCACTAATGTTTCTTTGATGGTTTTTTAGTAATATCAGTGAATGCTCAAAATGACCAGCAGAAAAGTTCATTTCGAAAACAACTGACAGAAGCTTTGACATCAGCTGACCCAGCTACTGTGTCTGGCCTTAGTTTAAACATATGGCTATGATTGTACTGTGTGTTGTTTCGTTTCCGAAGATATCTCCGTGCTTTTTTAAGAATATCCTGTCTATGCTGGTCACAGCTAAAACAATAGTGCATCCTGTCTGCCTGCTTCCAAGTCCTGATCAAGTCTTAATGTGCTCATACTTGTGTTGAAGACTCATTGCACCAACACACCTTAGCTTTAAAAATATGTTTAAAATATGCAGAAAAGCCAGCAGCTGCTGTTGGAATTGGGAGTGTGACTTGGCAACACTTTATCAAGATTGAATGATGGGCCCTTTGTCAGCTTGCTTTTGTTTAACCCAAGTTGGTGATATCAATTAAAGTGAACAAAGAGACACAGAGAGGCCTGCTGTTTAACATACATAAAAAAATCAACAAAACGGATTCTGTGGCGTGCAGAATGTTTGCGTACTTGACCAAAGATTGTCTATACACTTAAAACAAAGTTCCCTCCGGTGTACACTTCCTGTTTGCTTCATGAGAACTTTAGAAGTTCCCCACATGACACAAGTAAGTCCTTATCCAGTACTCAGAGCAGCATTTTCCTAACAAACAGCCACTGTAGAGAAAGACCTCCTCAGTTAGCCACTGCCTCTGTCTCCTGTTTAGAAAAAGGCAGCATGGGCTGCACAGTCACTCCCTGCATCCCAGAGGAGATGAATTCCATTGTGGGAGTAGGGGATCAGAGTCTCTTTCAGCCTGACTGTGTCACAAGGACTCTTGATCCAAAGCCAAACAAAGTCCTCTGATACTGCCAACTATGCCCTGATCGGGACACTGAGCCCGCTGGAGTAAACTCAGATGCTGTTAAAGCCAGGTATCTTTACAAATAGCGCAAACTGAATGTAAGATTTTCAGCTACAAAGTATTACAACTGTTCAAGGATCCAAATATAAAGCAGAATCAAACAAAGGGGGGGGGGGGGGGGGGGGGGGGGGGAGCAAAAATATTACCATCTTTATTTGTCTAATCATTGCAATTCTACTCAGCGGGTTATTGAAAATGTTGTGTTATACATTATGACAGCTAAACATGCAATCATCAATACAAGTTTCATTAACACTGCGTTCAGTTGCCATTAGCATAGGAGGTGGATTTTCAAATTAAAAGCTTATCAGAAAATACACAATTATGCCCAGTGAATCACCGTTACAACCCAAATACTGTTAAACATCTGTGAAGTGTTGACAGTAGTTTAAATTGGTAAATGTGACAGGAAAGAATTAGCGAATGAAAACAGTAATTCTGTCAACGAAAAGGCATTGAGCGGTAAGATATCGAGTCAGTGGTTGTACTGATGGGATCAGTGCTGTGTAAACACACATTGTGCTGAGTGTATCAGGTAAAGGTAAAAACGAAGGAAAAGCTGACTTTGCAGAAATGGAAATCTGTGCCAAGCTGCTGCTGAGGAAGGGCTCTGTAAAGGCTAAAACCTAAAAATACTAGAGGTGGGAATCACCATACAGCCCACGATACGATATTATCACAATACTTATAAATATTTCGCGATATTCAGATTCTGTACATAAAGGTAAACTTTATCAATATTCATTTTATCTAATATCAAAGTCTCACACTCAGTCTTTCTCTCATTTCAGTTTTATTGTTGACAAACTGAACGGTTTGTATTACAGTCTAGTCCAACTTAACTGAACGCAACCATCTGGTACAATTATAGCTATTCTGAACTATGCAGTTTATGAAAACTATGCAGCCCCTTCAGCAACTGAAGAATTTGAAAGTAAATTAAAACAAAATATAATTTTACATTAAATAAAAAAGTTTTAAACTTAATTAAAATAAAACTTGTCTTAAATTAAAATAAGTAAACTGTCATGTTTATTGGTGCCAAAAAAAAGTTAAACACATTTGGACAGTGAAGGAATGTCAGGATTCTTGCTCAGAAAAAGGATCAACATGCTCTGAAGTCAGAGCACAAAAACTTTTTTGTAACAAAATATCGATTTCTGCTGTCCCTGTATCGATACATTATTAGCAAACAAAATATCACGGTACTACACAGTATTGATTTTTTCCCCCACCCCTAAAAAATACATCAATCATCTAGCTACACCCTCACCACTAAGGTCAGCATTTTCACCTGCCTTTGCCAGATGACAGCAGTCAAAATTGACTGAAAATGTAAGATCAGAAGGTCATCAGAAGGGTTTAGAGGCTGCAGAGGAAACCTCACACAGAAGCACGAAGAACAAACTAAACAAAAAGGTCCAGAACATTCTTGTTGTGAAAAAAACATTAACTTGGGTGTGAAAGGGTTAAGTAAGGGTTAGGTAATTATAATAAAATCAAAAAGGGTTTAGTCAAGAAAAAGAGGCGAAGTAAGAAAATTCTGTTTAGAGCCTTTTAAGTGAGTTTGAAATGAGTGGACAAAAATATAATTTCAAACCATAAAAGGGAAAATAAAAGTCATCTTTGCTATATTCAATCAGCAGCACAAAACGTATTAACTAGAAACTAGAAAACAATGAGCAATTGATAAAGATTAATATAAGCACAGGAACACCCAAATTTTACATCTCGACAATAGAGACAATTACTCTGTACTTTTTACATAATGTTTGAAAGGTACATGGCTTTTCAAAATCAAAATATGCAGAACTGACAAAAAAGTTGGATGCCACTGCTGATCACCAACAAAGCAATATATAAGTGGAAGAGGTCCTTACCAGTCGGGCCTCCCTGCGCAGCCCCTCGGTGTTCCTCAGCCAGAAGCGACTCAGCTCACTTAACTCCAGTATTGGCTGCACCTTCAGCCTCACCGTGTCTCCTGACTGACGGATCATCTCCACTATCTCGTCTCGACTCTTATTCTCCACATTTCGTCCATTTATCTCCACCAGCCTATCGCCTGGCACCAGGCCCAGTGCCAGATCCTTAGTGCCTGCACCAGGTTCTGCAAAGTGAACCACACGTCTGTACACTCCTCCATCAGGGCTGCGGTCCAGCATTGTAGTGCGACGCAAAGAAAATCCAAAGTCACCAGTGTTGCGGCGCTGGAGTTCCAGTTCACGGGTTTCAGGTGGACTTGGAGCAACCACAGCTGGCAGCTGGAGTTGTGCAGGGAAGGTTTTATCGACCACTTCGGGAATGCAGATTCTTTTGGGGGCTTCTGCTCCAGGCTGCTGCTTGAGGCTGTGCTTGCGGAGCATGCTGAAAACTTTGCTCTCCACCTGTGGGGATGGGGCAGCAGAATTCTGGCCTGAAGGGGTGGATCCCTCTGAAGGGCTCTCCTCTTTGCTTCTCTGGGAAAAGGAGAAGCGTTTCATCATCTGTGTAGAGTTCTGCTTGGCAAGTGAACCAAAGTGAGCAACTCGATCTCGCACTGAGCTGCGTTGTCCATCCTGTCCTCCTCCACCCTCACCCTTCAGATCATCATTGGAGCTGGCAATGCTTAGTTGGTCATCCAGGATCATGCTGCTTCGGTTACTCAAGCCATCTAATTCAATGTCAGTGAGGGGGAGATCACTGGTGCTGGCCACTTTGATGGGAATGGGGTTGGAAATCTCAAGCTTGTTCCTAGATTCCCGCTTCGACTCCCTCTTCAGGTTGAAGAAACCACGGCGCATGCTCATCTCCTCCAGACTGCGCAGCTCTGCTGCAGACATCCTCTCCTTTTTCTCCTTCTTCTCCTTCTCCTTTTTCTTTAGATTAAACATTGTGGCACTAAATTAACTTAGTGTTCCCTTTTCGGCTGAACTGACTTCAGGTCAGGTGTGTTTGCTATGATCCAGCGAGGAAAGGCTAAGAATTTAAAAAGAGAGAGACAGAGAGAACAATTTCTGTTAAACTGCTAAATATTACAGTAACTGCTCTCCATGCACACCAGTGCGTGTCCATGAGTGTATTTAGTGGTATATGTGACTGTTATTGCGATGTTGGTATTTTAAAATATTATACATCACTGATTTGTGCATAAAGTATGAATATTTGTTGTAAACTTGTTCTGTAATTGTGGCAATTTATGAATTTAAGTGATAATTTCTGAATATATAAGAGACATGAATTGTCCGGTTATCGGATCAGATGGCGATGTTAAACGTTATTTGGCTTGTTGATGACTGCACTGACATTCTGAGTGGACTATTATGCAGGTGTGACATGCCTAGCACCTAGAAAAATGTGCTTGTGTGAATGGGTGTGAATCGGTGAATGCACAAGTTGTGTAAAGCGCTTTGAGTGCTCAGAAGAGTAGAAAAGTGCTATATAAGAACCAGTCCATTTACCATTTTACCATTTACCTAATAGCCAGGAATCCCTAATTGGCTGAATCTTACTCAATGTGTATCCATGCGCAAACGTGTATGAACACTGTTTCTTTGTACCTGACAAAGGTCACACAGACCAAAAGGTTGTAACTGAATAAAAAATTAAGGTAAGCAGGACAGTGTGCGGCTGTAACAGTGATAATGAAAGAATAATGATTCCCTAATGTTTTCACACACCTAGAACAGTCAGACAGGCTAAGAAAATTGCCTTTTCTCATTAATGTCACAATTAAATAATATAAACAATAATTATTATCAGTATTACTGAAGTCTTCGGACTGTGGGAGAACATGCAAACTCCACACAGAAAGACTCTGGCCTGTTGGTAGAATTGAACCCAGGACCTTCTGTGGTTACCAACGTGCAGTTAGAGGGGTTAGGTCAACTGGTAACTCTAAATTGCCCATAGGTGCAAATGGTTGTGTGCCTCTATGTGTTAGCCCTGTAATGGACTGGTGACCTGTCCAGTGTGTACACTGGGATAGGCTCCAGCTCCCCCGTGACCCTGACAAGGATCAACGGAACAGAATGGATGGATGTATTATTATTATTATTGCTAGTGGTGGCATAATCTGACGACAGACATTTATACTGTCTCATAGTTACATTTTTATATCACTTGTTATCTCAGCCTCAACAGTTTAGCAGCACTTTCTGTATTGGAATATGTTTTGTAGTCAAAATCCCACATTTTGTCTGCTTTGTTTCATGATTCTGCCTGCTTATTTAATGGATTTTTTACCACTGTATTGTTGCATATAGTTAAAAATGTCCGTAATTACACACATAATTTTACTACTATTAAAATGCAAAGACCAGATCTAAAACATTTTTTTAAGCTGGCATCAAGCGTCTAAGCAAAACTGATTGTTTGCATAGAGCATATGTGTAGACACCCTTGCAAAAAAAACAGACCTACATCCCTGAACACTTCTAGTATTCTTACATTAAAGAAGCCCACTGGAGAAGCTTGAGAAGACCATTTTTGTAAGCCTCACAAATAAGGTAAAGTCCTGCCACAAACTGAAAAGTCCAGGCAGGCACATCCACATGGTTCAGCCTGGTTCTTATAAACTGCTGGGTAATACACAGAGAATCTTATTTACAAAAAATAAAAATAAAAAACCTCCTACTATTTTAACTGTGGAATAGGTGAATTGTGTCAGTGATTTCTCCTGCTAAGATAAGTCCGGATTTCCAGCAAAAAAGGTCATTCAGCTGTTATAAAAACTTCATCAGGCAAGAGCCTAAACTGTCAGTTATGAAGTAGTCATATGCTCAAAGGTGTAACAGAATAGCACTGAAAACATCACAGCTATTTATATCTATACAGCAAAACTACCGTGGTAACGTGTTGTACAGATTTACATATAGTGTTTAGCAACACAGTATCGAATAACCAATTTGCCAGAACAGTAAAGGTTTCCTTAACAGTCCGTTCAGATTATTACCTTCTGTCATCTGTAGCCAAAATAAACGAAGAGCGTCTGCACTAAGAGCAGCGTTAGGTCCTATATGCACTGGTTGAGGAATGCTAAAACGCTAAATGGCTTAAGAGTTTTAAGTTGCCTCCCTTTTATCTACTTGGCTTCTGCGGTTAAATCGACACTAATACTTAACCACTAACGTAAACAAAGCGTATTTGTCAGCCGGGGGACAAAAGTCGGGGACAAAAGCATGACAGAGCTAAAATAAGTATAGCTTCTCAGCTACATTAGCTAGCCGAGCTACTGCTTTGTAAATGAAGGTAATGTTACCTAATAATCAATATCTCTTGTTTTATGCTATTCCAAATGAGAACGCGCCAAAAACACAAGGTTACATATTTTATGTATTTTTTTTTTCACTTTTCATTTAGCGTCTAGCTAGCTAACTAGCCTAATTGGCTCAGGTCACAGCCTCAGTTCTTTGCCCTCATTTTGGTAAAGCAAATCCTGGAACACTCTGGGATCCTATGAAAATCATTCAGTCAGCCCCACTGACTGCCTGTCCGTCTCAGCACAGCTGCCTTAACACTAAATGTGCCTTCTCAGTAGAAGCACATCTTATTATAGGAACAGATACTCACAGCTTTCCAATACTTCAAACGAAGCCTCGCTAGTCCCTTGTTAATGGGTGTAGCTCGGCTTGTAGGGAACAGAAACAAGCTTTCAGGCTCTGGTTGTGATAGCAGGCTGCTCCCAGTCCAGCTCTGAAGCGTCAATACTGTATCTAAAACGCGGTCAACCTACTCCCCCTTCTGTTCATACAGTGTAACCAGGTACACTACTGGAAAGACGGTTTTTAATTGTGAGTTGTGTATTTAAACTGTACCACAGTATTTGTGCACAGCAGTCGATTATCTTGTTAATAATTCTACTTGTTTACTATGTACGACTCTGGATAATGTAACTCCAGTGAAAAAGAAAGCCTGGGAAAATACTTTGCTGCTTTATAAAAATAAAAAAAAGCCCTCCATAAAGCCAGAACATCTTACTATTCATCATTGATTGAAGAAAATAAGAAGCACCCTAGGTTTCTCTTCAGCACTGTAGCCAGACTGACAAAAAGTCAGAGCTCTGTTGAGCCAACCATTCCTTTAACATTAACTAGTAATGACTTCATGAATTTCTTAACAAATAAAATTTTAAAATTTTAAATTGCTTAGGCTGCTGCCCCCGCGACCCGGCCCCGGATAAAGCGGATGAAGATGGATGGATGGATGGATGGATAAAATTTTAACCATTAGTGAAAAAAATACTCATTTCACAGATATAACATTATGTACGGCTATAACAATGGTATTACTATTGTTTAATTACTGAGTTAACTTCAGTAATTACATATTCCAAACCATCAACATTTGTGTTATGTAATGTTTCTATCTTAAATATGATCGACCTATCTCTAATAATTAGCTATGTAGCACAGGTCTTTAAGCTGTAATTAAATTAAACCATTAATTAAACCAATACTTAAAAACCCATCCCAGACCCACAGGTCTTAGCTAATTATAGACCGATCTCCAACCTTCCTTTTATCTCAAAAATTCTTGAAAGAATAATTGTGTAAAAAAAAAAACGACTAATTTTTTGCAGAGGAATGGCTTATTTGAAGAGTTCCAGTCAGATTTCAGAGCCCACCACAGCATCACAGCACAGAAACAGCTTTAGTGAGAGTTACAAATGATCTTCTCTCAGCCTCTGACAGTGGACTCATCTCTGTGCTTATCCTGCTAGACCTCAGTGCAGCGTTCGATACTGCTGACCATAATATTTTATTACAATCATTAGAGCATGCTTGTAGGTATGAAAGATGCTACAGTGCAGTGATTTGAATTATATCTAACTAATACACTCCAATTTGTTCATGTAAAAGAAGAGTGCTCTTCACACAGTAAGGTTAATTATGGACTTCCACAGGGTTCAGTGCTATGGGATCAACTGTGTTTACGTTATATAGGCTTCCCTTAGGGAGTATCATTAGAAGCCATATCATACATGCAGATGACACCCACCACCCATCTATCCATGAAGCCAAATAACACACACCAATTAGTTCAACTGTAGGAATGTCTTAAAGACATAAAGACCTGGATGACCTCTAATTTTCTGCTTCTAAATTCAGATAAAACTTTATTGTATTTGACCCTAAAAATCTTAGAAATATGGTATCTACCTTACTCTGAATGGCATAGAATAGAATAAACCTTTAATTGTCCCACAAGGGAAAATTTGTTAACACAAGGGGAAATTTGGTAATTCTCTTGGCCTTGGTAAAACTGATGAATATTGGAGTCATTTTCAGCCAAGAGCGGAGGCCACCTCTGGGGACAAGTGGGACGACTATTCTATCTCTGGTTGTGAGGTCACCACTGAGGCTGTTAAACAACTCCTTGGTGGCAGGGCCCCTGGGGTGGATGAGGTTTGAGTTCCTGAAGGTTTTGGATGTTGTAGGGCTGTCTTGGTTGACACACCTCTACAATGTTGCATGGAGATCAGGGGCCGTACCTCTGGATTGGCAGACCGGGGTGGTGGTTTCTATCTTTCAGAAGGGGGACTGGAGGGTGTGTTCCAACTATAGGGGGGGATCACACTCCTCAGCCTCCCTGG